CCCTCGCTCCCCTTGGTGGCCCCGTTGCAGCCCTTCGTGGCCCTCTCGCTCCCCTTCGTGGCCCCGTTGCAGCCCTTCGTGGCCCCGTTGCGGCCCTTCGTGGCCCCCTCGCTCCCCTTCGTGGCCCCGTTGCGGCCCTTCGTGGCCCCCTCGCTGCCCTTCGTGGCTCCATAGATGTATGCCCTTCATGGCCCCCGCTCGCTCGCGCCCGTGATGGCCCCATATGCATGCCCTTCGTGGCCCCGCTGTCGCCCGTCGTGGCCCCCTCGCTGCCCTTCGTGGCCCCGTTGCTGCTCTCAGTGGCCCCGTCCTTGCCCTCCGCGGCCCAAGATACGTATGCCCTTCGTGGCCCCCGCTCGTTCGCGCCCGTTGTGGCCCCATGTGCATGCCCTTCGTGGCCCCGCTGTCGCCGTTTGTGGCCCCCTCACTGTCCTACGTGGCCCAGTTGCTACCCTCAGTGGCCCCATCGTTGCCCTCTGTGGCCCCGCATTATCTGCCCTTCGTGGCCCCCCGCTCGTTCGCGCTCGTCGTGGCTCCATTCGCATTCCCTTCGTGTCCCCGCTGTCGCCCTTCGTGGCCTACTTCGTGTCCTCAGTGGCTCTGCTGTGGTTCTCTCTCTTGCTCTCGCTTTCGCTCGTCGTCGTCGCCGTCGCCGTCGTCGTCGTCGTCGTCGTCGTCGTCGTCGTCGTCGTGGTCGGTCCCCTGTCCGTCCCTCTTGAGGTCGGGTCGACGGTCCGCGGCCGCCCCGCCGATCAGCGCTGCCGCTGGCCAGGCCGACGGTCCGCGGCCGCCCCGCCGCTTGCCGGGGCCCGTCCTGCAGGGAAGAAAGGTTTACCCCCCAAAAGGGGTTCGATCGAAGACGAAGAGGGCGGGTATCGAGGGTTGAGGAAATAAGCGTTATTGGACACTCGAGCAGATAAGGGCGATCAGTCTTAAAATGATGACTGCAGTTGTTGTTGTTGTTGTTGTTGTTGGTGGTGGTGGTGGTGGTGGTGTTGTTGTTGTTGGTGTTGTTGTTGTTGTTGTTGTTGTTGTTGTTGTTGTTGTTGTTGTTGTTGTTTGTGTTTGTGTTTGTGTTTGTGTTTGTTGTTGTTGTGTTTGTTGTTGGTGTTGGTTGTGTTTGTGATTGTTGTTGTTGTTGTTGTTGTTGTTGTTGTTGTTGTGTTTGTTGTTGTTGTTGCTGTTGCTGTTGCTGTTGCTGTTGTTGCTGTTGTTGTTGTTGGTGTTGGTGTTGTTGTTGTTGTTGTTGTTGTTGTTGTTGTTGGTGTTGTTGTTGTTGTTGTTGTTCTTGTTGTTGGTGTCCAATGTTCATTTCGAAATAATAATTATTGCTGGTCTCCTGAAACGGTTCCGCGCACTCTCGTCTTGACGCCGGCTACATTTTCTTTGAACACGAGGCTCCCGCGCGAGAGTGGGCTTGAGTGTAAAAGTGTGCCCTTGGAGGCCCGGCTACGAAGACAACGGCTCCCGCTCCACACTTCCTATGAATTTGCACCGATACACCCTGGCCAGAGAGGCCCCCGACCTGAGGAACGGCTTTCTCGCTGGAGAGAGTTCCTCGCAATTCAGCCAAGTTGGCGGAGGCCCAACCACGACGACAAGGGTTCCTCTTCGATATTTCCGCACGATTTACTCCGAGAGACCCTGGCCAGAGAGGCCCCCGAAACCAGGAACGGTTTTCTAGCTCGAGAGTTCCTCGCAATGCAGTCAAGTTGGCGGAGGCACAGCCACGGCGACAAGAGCGCCTGCTCGAAACTTCCTCATGATTTACTCCGAGAGCTCCTGGCCAGGAAGGCCCCCGAACTCAGGAGCGGCTCTCTCTCTCTCTCTCTCTCTAGAGAGAGAGAGAGAGAGAAAGAGACTTTCTCGTGATTCAGTCAAATTGGTGGAGGCCCAACTACCGACGACAAGGGCTCCCATTCCATACTTCCTCAAGATGTATTCGCAGAGGCCCTTGCCAGAGGCCCCCGCACTCAAGAGTGGCGCTCTCGCTCGAGACTTTCAAATATTTCAAGCAAGCTGGTGGAGGCCCAGACACGGCGACAAGGGCTCCCGTCGATATTTGTCAATATGTATGTTTTCCGAGAATCCCTGGCCAGAGAGGCCCCTGAACTCAGAAACGGCGCTCTCGCTCGAGAGTTCTTCGCATGTCAGCCAGTGGCCGATATGCAAGATATCCCCCCGAAAGGAGGTGCGATCGAAGACGAAGTGGGCGGGTATCGAGGGCAGGGTAATTATACAGGATAGAAGACACGCGTGCCAGTCAGAACGAATAGTCTTATAATGGTTGTTGCTGTTGTTGTTGTTGTTGTTGTTGTTGCTGTTGTTGTTGTTGTTGTTGTTGTTGTTGTTGTTGTTGTTGTTTGTGTTTGTGTTTGTTGTTGTTGTGTTTGTTGTTGTTGGTGGTGTCGGTGTTGGTGTTGTTGTTGTTGTTGTGTTGTTGTTGCTGTTGTTGTTGTTGTTATTGTTGTTGTTGTGATTGTTGTTTGTTGTTTGTTGTTTGTTGTTTGTTGGTTATTGTGTCTTGTTTGTTGTTGGTTGGTTGTTTGTTGTTGTTTGGCGTCGTCCCCGCCGCGACCCGGCCCGCGACCCACTCGCGACCAACCCCGCGACCCGCCCGCGACCCACCCCGCGACCCACCCGCGAGTCACCCGCGACCCACCCCGCGACCCGCCTGCGACCCACCCGCGACCCACCCCGCGACCCACCCGCGACCCACCCGCGACCCAGCTCGCGACCCAGCTCGCGACCCACCCGCGACCCACCCGCGACCCACTTGCGACCCACCCGCGACCCACCCGCAACCCACCGCGCGACCCACCCACATTGCTTTAACGAAAACTCGGCGCTTGCGGCGAGCTTCTTCAGAGCCTCGCAGACTGCAGACGTCCCCCCCCGCCCCCTCACTCTTATCCGCGACTGCGGGGTGTTACTTCGGCCTCTGGAGGCCCTCGCCGGGCTCCCGGACCGTCAAAGACGTTTTGTAATGGGAAACCGGTCCTTGTGAGTGGGTCGAGACCTCTGGGGGTCGACGTTATGAGGAAATCATGACGTCAAATATCTGGAAACTCAGCTGGTAAGGCTTCGGGTTGCGCACGCACGGCCCCCTCCCCAGGTATTTCCGGCGGGCCTCAACAGGCTCCCCGAGTAGTTCCAGTTGGCCTCAACAGGCCCCCTGAGCAGTCCGGGGCGATCTCAACACCCCAACCTTGGGGTCGCGGGGCGCCCCTGGGGCGTCGCCGGAGGCGGAGCCAGGGTGTTGAGACCGCCCCGGACTATTCAGGGGGCTGTTTGAGATCAGCTTGGACTTTTCGGGGGGGCCTGTTGAGGCCAGGTGGGACTAGCTGATGGGGGCTGCCTGTGCGCAACCTGAAGGGTTACCACGCCCAGACATCCTCGCGTCATGGAAAAAAATCACCGCGTGTGGTTTTTGACTGTTTTCGGCCTCTGGGGACCCTCGCCGGGCCCCGAAGAGCCGGCCCCAGGGGAATGCCCCTGGGGACCACGTGTTGAACAAATCAAGGGTGCCCCTTGCCCGTCGCATGTCTGGAGTGACCCTTCGCCGGAGTAGGCCTTGGTTCGAAGAAGCATCCGAAGAAGAATAAGCCGGCATAAACACAAGCTTTCGGAGTTTCGCGCCGATTTGGGGGATCGAAGCTGGGCGCCCCTGGCCCGTGGCGGTGCCTCCGGCGCCGCACCAGAGGCGCGCCAGGGAGGGGGGGGGCCAGCGCCGATCTAAGAAGCCGCGTGGACTTCCGAACAATTATGTTCGCGCCGTGATTGTTGTTGTTGCTCTGATTGTTGTCGTTGTATTTTTTCTGTCAGTGCGGGCCCACAGGGGTCCCCCCCGCACCAGCTTGTTGGGGCAGGGGCGCTCAGATTTGGCCCCGCTGTGGTCGTTCAACTCCGAGGCCGCGCGCCAGAGGTTGCCCAGGGCCACCCTTGCGTGCAAGCTGCCCGCGTAAGCCCGCCCGCAGGCGCCCTTTTCTCCAATGTAGTGTGCCGCGCTGTCGACCCGCGTAAGACGCGGTGTAAGGTCGCTGCGTCATCGTGCGGATGACTCGTTTTTTTCGTTGCTCGGGTGGTGCGCCGCGCTGACGGCCCGCGAAAGCCGCGGCGTAATGTCGCTGTGCCATCGTTCGTAAAACCAGTTTTTGGTTCGTCGCTCAGGTTGGTATGCCGCGGTGGCAGCCCGCGCAAGCCGCGGCGCAGGGCCTTTTTTTGTTCATCATGCGAAAGACCAGTTTCTTGCGGTCGTCGCTCAGGTTGGTGTGGTGCGCTGGTTGCCGCGTAAGAGTAATACCAGTTGCTTGCGTCGATCAGGTAGTGTGCTGCGCTGGCCCGGGCAAGCCACGGCGAAAGGTCGCTATGCCATCCTGCGCAAGACCCGTTTTTGCCCGTCGCTCAGGTGGTGGGCGCCGAGCACGCCGCCTGGCTGCGGCCGCTGCGGCGCTGGCTGCGCGACGCAGCCGACGGAGCGGGGCCCGACGCTGGCGCCGCCGGGGCGGCAGCTGCGGAACCGAGCGCGCTGGTGGCCGCTGGCGGCCCCGGCGGCGCGCCAGGCTCGCTGTCGCTTGCGCCGCCGCGCGCAGGCAGCGGCCGCGGCGCCTCCGTCGCCTGGCTGGGCGAGGGCGAGGGCGAGGCGGACGCGTCTGGCAGCGGCGCCTGCGGCGACGGCCGGGAGGAATGAAAGTGAACCACTTGGATCACCGCGGGGGGTGCAAAGGGGATAGGGGGAGCTTGAGTGGATGCTGCGTAGAGTCGTATCTGGCCCAACCTGTAGCATATAGGTAGGTTGCAAGTGCCCTAAGTGGCTTTGGGTGGTACAGATCCGGGCTAAGTGGGCTCCGCCCACTTAGCGGAGTTACCCACATCCCCCTCAGCAAGTTAGGTCACCTGTAACCCGTTTATATCCCAGGTGCGGCCAGATAAATCCACCTGAGCATCCACTTGTAACCCGCTTTACCCCCTTGACAACCACCGCGGTGACCCAAGTAGCAATGGGCCGCTGCCGCTGGGAGCACGTCAGTGTGCTATTCCTTCGTTGTTACCTCAGCCCTTTGGTTTCTTTACCCTGAGGTCCGACGTTGCGACAGAAAGCAACGCGACAAATAACGGTCGGAACCCTGTGCCCATCTTTCTGCGGCAGTGTCTGAACCGGATCGATCCGTGAGGGTCCTGGGCTCCCGAAGCAGGCGGGAACGCCCGGTGTGACGATTTGCGACGCGCAGATCTCAGGCTTCCCAGACCCCCCACGTCGTGATGAGTCCCAACCATTATATGGTGTTGGGTCCTCGCGTTGAAGAGAGCAGCGCCCCGCGTCGCACACCTCCCGCTCCCTCGTCCCTTTCCCCATGTTGGCACACCCGTCACGCGCTTCGTGACTCTATAGGGAGCTCCACCGAAGGCTCCAGGGGTGACGTTGGCATGCTTCCGCGCCACCCAGTACAGAGTTTCGTGGCCCCACAGAGAGCTCGACCGAAGGACCCAGAGGTGCCGTTCGCATGCGTCCGCGTCACCCAGTACAGCGTTTCGTGGGCCCCTCAGGGAGTTCCACCGAAGGCGCCAGAAGCGATGCTCGCATGCGTCCGCGCCGCCCAGTACAGAGCTTCGTGGCCCTATACGGAGCTCCACCTTCGGCCCCAGTGGCGACGCTCGCATGCGTCCGCACCACCCAGTGCAGCGCCTCGTGGCTCCATAAATAGCTCCACCGATGGCCCCAGTGGCGACGTCCGCATGCGTGCCACCCAGTGCAGCGCTTCGGAGCCCCATAATGAGCCTCACCGAAGGTCTCAGTGGCAGGGTTCGCATGGCGGCACCGCACCCGTTTCGTCACACCCCTCATACGCTTCGTGCCCCCACAGGGAGCCCCACCGAAGGCCCCAGTGGCAGCATCCATTGCGGCATACCCCTCACACGTTTCCTGCCCCCAACTGCACCCATCCCCCACCCTCACACGTTTCGTGGCCATACGGGGAACTCCGCCGAAGGCCCCAGTTGCAGGGTTCGCATGGCGCCGCCGCACCCATGTCAGCACCCGCCTTAAACACGTCTCGTGGCCCCAGAGGGAACTACACCGAAGGCCCCAGTGGCAGAGTTCGCACGGCGCCACCGCACCCATGCCGGCACCACCCTCACACGCTTCGTGGTCCTACAGGGAGCCCGACCGAGGGCCCCCCTGGCAGGGTTCGCATTGCGCCACTGCGCCCAAATCGGCGCGACCCTCACACGTTTCTTGGCCCCATGGGAGCTCTTCCAGGGATCCCAGAGGCAGTGTTCGCATGACGCCACCGCACCCAATTCGACGCACCCTTCACACGCTTCATGGCCCCATATGGAGCCCCACCGAGGGCTCCAGTGGGATGGTTCGCATGGCGCCACCGCGCCCATTTCGGCACCCCTCACACGATTTGTGGTTCCATAGGGAGCCCCACCGAAGGTTCCACTGGCCAGGTTCGCATAGCGCCACCGCGCCCCTCACCCCCTTCACACGCTTCGTGGCCCCACAGGGGGTTCCACCGAGGGTCCCAATGGCTGGGTTCGCATAGCGCCACCGCGCCCATGTCGGCTCACCCTTGCACGCTTCATGGTCCCCGCGGGAGTTGCCCCTCTCTCATCCCACCTGCCTTGCAGTTCTCGCACCCGCATGTGGTTGGGTCATTGGCCAGGTGAATTGTTCCCTACCGTCCTGTGGGTTTAGGTCCCCATTTTGCAGAGGCAGCGCCCCGCGTCACTTCCTCCTCCTTCCTCCTCCTCCTCATCCTCTTCCCATCTCCTCTCGTCGTCATCATCAGCATTGTCAGCGTCATTAGCGTTACCAGATGGTCAGCACATTCCTCACGCATTTCGCGGCCCCATAAGGAGCTCCACCGAGGGCCCCAGTGGCAGGGTCCGCATGGCGCCACCGCACCCATGACGGCACCCCCCTCACACGTTTCGTGGCCCTACAGGAAGCCCCACCGAGGGCTCCAGTGGCAGGATTCGTTTGACGCCACCGCACCGGATCCGGCTTCACTTTCGCACGTTTCTTGGCCTTACAGCCCCACCGAAGGCATCAGTGGCAGAGTTCGCATGGCGCCACCGCATCCATGTCGGCACACCCCTCGCACGTTTCATGGCCCCGTGACGAGCTCCACAGAAGGTTCCAGTGGGAGAGTTCGCATGGCGCCTTGGCGCCACCGCGCCTATTTCCGCATACCCTTCACATGTTTCGTGCCCCTCCACAGGGAGCTCGACCGAAGGCACCAGTGACATGGTTCGCATGCCGCCACCTCACCCGTTTGGGCATGTTGTTGTTGTCATACGCTTCGCGGCCCCAAAAGAACTCCGCCGACGGCCCCAGCGGCAGGGTTCGCATGGTGCCACCGAAGACATGACGGCACAACTTTACACGTTTCGTTGCCCCACATGGAGTTCACCGAGGGCCCACGAAGCAGGGTTCGCATGGTGCCACCGAAGACATGCTGGCACACCCTTACACGTTTCGTCGCCCCACAGGGAACTCCACCGAGGGCCTTAGCGACAGGGTTCACATGGCGCCACCGCACACCCCAGAATATACCCCCACGTACGTCGTATTCCGGCCGATAGCGACCCAATCCGGGACCTTCCATCCGGACTTTAAAAAGTCAATACAAAGTGGCAGTTTTTCTTCTCAACATCGTCTTTCTTGTCGTCGACGATGCGACAAGCGTGGCAGGAATGGGACGCGGCGCGCATCGCGCGCGGCAGTCAATCTGGGCCCGCCCACCCTGACTGTAAAAAATCAATACAAAGTCTCCGTTTTTTCCTCTCAGCATGGCCTGCCTTGTCGCCGACGGTGCAAAATATGCGGCAGGAATGGGACGCGGCGCACATAATCCTGACTAGTGCTACTAGTACCTCTGGTACGACGACGACTACTACTACTACTACTACTACTACTGCTACTACTACTACCATTACTACTAATATTACTACTACTACTACTACTACTACTACTACTACTACTACTACTACTACTTCTACTACTACTAGTACTACTACTACTACTACTACTACTACTACTGGCTACTACTATACTACTACTACTACTACTACTACTACTACTACTACTACTACTACTACGACTACTACTACTACTATTGCTACTACTACTACTACTACTACTAATGCTGCTGCTGCTGCTGCTGCTGCTGCTGCTACTACTACTACAACTACTACTACTACTACTACGACCTACTACTACTACTACTACTACTGCTGCTAGCTGCTGCCTGCTGCTACTACTACTACTACTACTACTACTCCTACTCCTACTCCTACTCCTACTCCTACTACTACTACTACTACTACTACTACTACGACTACTACGACTACTACGACTACTACGACTACTACGACTACTACGACTACTAACTACTACTACTACTACTAACTACTACTATACTATTACTACTACTACTACTACGACGACGACGACGAACGACGACGACGACGACGACGACGACGACGACGACGACTACTACTACTACTACTACTACGACTACTACTACTTCTACTACTACTACTACTACTACTACTACTGCTTCTGCTACTACTACTACTACTACTACTACTACTACTACTACTAGTACTAGTACTAGTACTAGTACTAGCACTAATACTACTACTCCTGCTACTACTTGTTCTGCAAATTGTGCTACCAATGGCATTACTACTAGTCCTAACAGTCGTACAAGTATTACTCGCACTTCTACTTCCATAGTGCTACTACTCTGTACTACTACTCGTACGAGTACTTGTACTACCTGTAGTAGTTCTGCTTCTACTACTCGTATTATTACTCGTATTATGAGTACTACTACCTATTCGTATCCCCGCTCTACTACTATCCGTAAGGGCTTCGCCCCCTGCCGCCGGCCCCCTCTCTCGGAGAATGGGCCATGGAAGAGCTAAGTCATGAGGCCTTGGCGCTGTCGTGAAGCAGTATCGAAACTTCATGCGAAGCCGATTCGCAATCAGCAAAACCAACTGATCACAAGAGGGGTTACCACACCTGGCGATTGGTAAGACGTGTATGGTTTACGGGCTTGGTTACCACACCTTGCGATTAAAGGGCCGAGGGAGTTCTCGCAGTTTGGGTTACCACGCCTTGCGATGGATGTGCGTGAAGGGTGGCACCGAATTTCAGAAATGTGGCAAATCCCTTGTGTTTTTGGACCCTGACCCCGCGGATCTGCGTGAGGGGTGGCACCGAATTTCAGAAATGTGGCAAATCCCCTGTGTTTTTGGACCCTGACCCCGCGGATCTGCGTGAGGGGTGGCACCGAATTTCAGAAATGTGGCAAATCCCATGTGTTTTTGGACCCTGACCCCGCGGATCTGCGTGAGGGGTGGCACCGAATTTCAGAAATGTGGCAAATCCCCTGTGTTTTTGGACCCTGACCCCGCGGATCTGCGTGAGGGGTGGCACCGAATTTCAGAAATGTGGCAAATCCCATGTGTTTTGGGACCCTGACCCCGCGGATCTGCGTGAGGGGTGGCACCGAATTTCAGAAATGTGGCAAATCCCTTGTGTTTTTGGACCCTGACCCTGCGGATCTGCGTGAGGGGTGGCATAGAATTCTAGAAATGTGGCAAATTTCCTGTGCTTTTAGACCCTGACCCCGCGGATCTGCGTGAGGGGTGGCACGCAAATCCCGTGTGTTTTTGGACCCTGACCCCGCGGATCTGCGTGAGGGGATGCACCGAATTTCAGAAATGTGGCAAATCCCCTGTGTTTTTGGACCCTGACCCCGCGGATCTGCGTGAGGGGTGGCACCGAATTTCAGAAATGTGGCAAATCCCATGTGTTTTTGGACACTGACCTCGCCGATCTGTGTGAGGGGTGTAGATTTCGAGCCCCCCCAGCAATTCAAACAACGCGCCCAGGAGGTGCTAAATATTTGGTTTGGGCCTCCCTCCCTCGCGCGGTCAACCAATTAGTTACAGTAACCAGCAAGAAGCAGAACTGTAACACTGGAAAATATGCAAGCTACAACTGGTACAGGAAACTGCGAACCCCGCGCCTACAACCTGGTGGCCCCACAAGGGGGCCGGCGGATTACTACTACTACTACTACTACTACTACTACTACTACTACTACTACTACTACTACTACTATTACTACTACTACTACTACTACTACTACCACTACTATTACTATTACTACTACTACTACTACTACTACTACTGCTGCTGCTGCTGCTGCTGCTGCTACTACTACTACTACTACTACTACTACTACTACTACTACTACTACTTACTACTACTTACGAGTACTACTACAGCAACAACAACTACTACTACTACCACTACTACTATTACTACTACTACTACTACTACTACTACTACTACTACCACTAGCACTACCACTACCACTACTACTACTGCTACTACTACTACTACTACTACTACTACTACTACGACGACTACTACTACTACTAGTACTACTACTACAACTACTACAACTACAACAACACCTACTACTACTACTACGACTACTACAACTACTACTACCTCTTCTGCTGCTACTACTACTACTACCACTACCCCTACCAGTACCTCTACCACTACTAGTACTACTATTACTACTACTACTACTACTACTACTACAACTACAGCAACAACTTTTACTACTTCTGTTACTATTACTACTACTACTACTACTACTACTACTACTACTACTACTACTACTACTACTACTATTACTACTGCTACTACTACTACTGCTACTACTACTACTACTACTACTACTACTACTACTACTACTACTACTATTACTACTGCTACTACTACTACTGCTACTACTACTACTACTACTACTACTACTACTACTACTACTACTACGCGCCAGCACCCAGTTGCGCCAGCATTGTTTCTTATGTTGTGGGAGGGCGGAACGTGTCCGTTGTTCCTTTCAACATGGCCAGTCTTGTCGTCGACGATGCGAAATGCGTGGCGGGAATGGGACGCGGCGCGCATCCCGCGCGGACGTCAATGCGGTGCCCTGGGGTATCCTCCACTCGCACTTAAATGCACGCGCAGCCCCCAGTTGTGCCATCACTGTTTCTTGTGTTGTGGGAGGGCGGGTGGGAATGGGCATGCCATGCTTGACTCGCTCGTGCTGGCTAGCTTGACCCACACCCACATCCTTGTTTATATACCCCACCTACCTCGTATTCCGGCCGATAGCGGCCCAATCCGGGACCTCCCATCCGGACTGTAAAAAATCAATACAAAGTGGCAGTTTTTCTTCTCAACATCGTCTTTCTTGTCGTCGACGATGCGAAAAGCCTGGCAGGAAGGGGGCGCGGCGCACATCGCGCGCGGCAGTCAATTTGGGCCCGCCCATCCTGACTGCAAAAAGATCAATACAAAGTCTTCGTTTTTTTCTCTCGGCATGGCCTGCCCTGTCGCCGACGGTGCGAAATATGTGGCAGCAACGGGACGCGGCGCACATATGGGACGCGGCGCACATCGCGCGCGGCCGTCAATCCGGGCCTGCCCATCCTGCCTGCGAGAAAATCAATACAAAGTCTCCGCTTTTTCCTCTCAGCATGGCTTACCTTGTCGCAGACGGTGCGAAATATGTGGCAGGAGTGGGACGCGGCGCACATCGCGCGCGGACGTCAATGCGGGCCGCGGGCCCTCCCATCCTGACTGTAAAACAACAGTACAGGGTTGCCGTTTTTCCTTTCATCATGGCCTGTCTTGTCGTCGACGATGCGAAATGCGTGGCAGGAATGTGGCGCGGCGCACATCGCGCGCGGATTTCTGGGGCAACCCCAAGGCGGGAGGGGCCACCTTACTTGTCAGAAACAATGCCATGCTGATTTTCCCTGCCCACATAGCTGTTCTTGTCGTCCACCCCGCAAAAGTGCATGGCAAGAGTTGGGCGCGGCACACCCCCTTCCCCCCCCGCTCGAAGTGAATGAAATGACCTTCCCGCTTGGGCGCCGAGCGAAATTTTCTCAAAGTTGCGCTCCCGCTTTGGCTCGGCGCACGTCTTTCGCTCGCCAATTCATTGGGCGCCGGGGCGTTCCAGGAGGCCCTGGGGTGACGAATGCCTGGGAGGTTCCTGTTTGTTCAGGCTCTTGGAGGGTCTCCTGAGGCTCCCCGCCGGTTTTTGGCGGCGTCTTCGGCCGTCTGGAGGCAATCTTTGGCGTCTTAGAACGATCTTTCGGCGACTCAGGGCCATTCGGATCGTCTCGGGGGCGTCTCGGCTCTCTTGGGGCGTTCCTGGGGCGCTCTGGGACCTGGAAGTCAGCGCCGAAGAAGAAAACCATCGCTGGGACCGACGTGCCCAGGACCTGCTCGGGGTTCTTTTCATCCGGGGGCCCCCTAGGGGCCGCCCCGCGCGCGCAAACTATGAGAATGTTAGCTGGAGATCTTAGCACGCCTCTGGCCCGTTGGGCTGGCCCGGGACCTGCTCGGGGTACTGTTCGTCCGGGGGCCCCCAGGGATCGCCCCGCGCGCGCAAACTAGAAGCTTGTTAATTAGTTACCGGAGATCTTTGCACGCCTCTGGCCCGCTGGGCCGGCGAATTTGTCCCAAGCCTTTCTGAGATCTCGACCCCTTTCTCGGGAGCAGTTTTGCGTCCTGGATATTTTTTCATTGGTCCAGGGGGCCAGAAATTGTTCCCTGGAGGGCGAAGTCGAGGGAAAAACGTGCGAAGTCGACGGAAAAACGCCAGAGCCGCGAGAGCTTCCGAGGAGCCTCGAAGCCCGAACCGGGAGGGCAAGTCGCGGCGGCACGGCGCCGGCGCCGCCCACAGGTCATGGTCGGCGGCGCGCCGAGGGGGAGTGTTTCAGTGAGGTGCTCGAACTTTGCGCTTCGAGCATCGGTGTTCGAGTCTTTCTGGCCCTCGGGGTCTTCTTCTAAGCCACGGCTGGACGCGACTCGAAAAAATGGTGCGTTTGGACCCAGGAGGGGTCCGAAGGCTTCCTTCGGACCGGATCTGGGTTTGGGGGTACGGCGAGGGGGAAGACAGCAGCCTGTCCGTTGCCTCGAGAATCGGTGTTCGAAGCTTTCTGGCCCTCGGGGTCCTCTAAGTCACGGGTGGACGCGACTCGAAAAAGCTATGCGTTTGGACCCGGGAGGAGTCCGAAGGCTTCCTTCGGAACGGATTTGGGGGGTTTAGGGGTACGGCGAGGGGGAAGACAGCAGCGTGTCCGTTGTGCCATCACTGTTTCTTGTGTTGTGGGAGGGCGGGTGGGAATGGGCATGCCATGCTTGACTCGCTCGAGCTGGCTAGCTTGACCCACGCCCACACCCACGCCGCCCCCTCGCGCCTCGCCCCTTTATCCTCCTCTTCCTCCTCCTCCTCCTCCTCCTCCTCCTCCTCCTCCTCCTCCTCCTCCCACCTCCTCCCTCCTCTCTCCCTCCTTTCTCCTCCCGCCTCCTCCCTCGCTCTCTCTCTCTCTCTCCTCTCCTCCCCCGAGGCCCCGAGGCCCATGCCTCCCCGACGTTCTGCCCCCCCACCCAGACGGGCGCGGGCCGCGGCTGCAGGTCCGCTACAGCCTGGGCGGCGCCGCGGGCGTCGCCAGCCTCACGGCTCGGCTGTGGCGGGGGGACGGCGCAGCGGGCTCGGCGAGGGGCGTGCTGTGGCAGGACGGGCGCACGGACCTCGCCCCTCCCCTGAGATCCTGGCGTTGCATTTTTTTCGAGCCGGGCGCTTCCGCTCGTTTATCGGGCCCTGGGACCCTCACAGATCGATCCGGTTCGAAAAATGACGCGGGGTCCAGGGCTCTGGTCGTGATTTTTTGCGATGTTGCATTTTTTCGCAACGTCGGATCTCAGGGTCCTCTGCCTCATGCGGTCCTGAAGCGGGCCCCCGAGGGAAACGGGTCCTGGGGGGGTTCTCGCCGTCTTCGGGCTTCCAGGGCGCTCTCCACAGGCCCTGGGAGTGGCCGAAAACGATTCAGGATGAAGAGCTGGTCCTGGGGGAAGGCCCCAGTTCCCTCGGGGCCCGTTTCCCTCGGGACCCGTTTCCCCCATGCTGAATTTCTTCTTCTTCTTCTTCCTCTTCTTCCTGAGTTTCCTGAGATGAGCTGGGCGTTTTCGCCCAGGTTCGGGCCCTCAGGGCTCTCACGGGTCCATCCGGCTCGAAATGTGGCGCAGAAGTCTGGGGTCCAGGGGGCTCCGGTGATGTTTTTTTCTGTGTTTCATGTTTGTTCGCGCCGTCGGATCTCAGGATCCTCCTGGCACTGGAGCTGTCGGCATCGGAGTCTCCTCAACCTCCTCCTCCTCCTCCTCCTCCTCCTCCTCTTCCTACTACTCATCCTCATCCTCATCCTCCTTCCTCATCCTCCGCCTCTTCCTCATCCTCCTCGTACTCCTCTTCTTCCTCCTCCTTCTCCTCCTCCTCGTATATCATTGCATTCAAAAGGTGCCAAACTTTTGATAGGGTACGCGATCGAGCAAATTCAGACGTGGTGGAGGGATCAATGCCGCCTTGAACCAGCTCAAGCTCCCGCCATCAGCCTTGTTCCTGTGTCCCTCGTTATACACGGCCTGCAGGGCACATCCACCTTGGTGCCGAAAGCTGCGCAACCACTGCACCACAATCCCCCTTTTCCACGGATCCGAAGGCGGTAGGACCAGTGATGCAGACGTGCTTGGCGGGAAACACCTGTGCATCTTGTAGAAGCTACAGCTTTATGAGACCAATCACGAACTCTACAAATTCTTCATGACATACGCTTACCTCTCGATGCCAGGTCGTGACCGTTCGCACCGTGCACAAGCTCAAGGGTCGGCGGGGCCTTGAGTCGTTTGGCCTTGAAGCTGTTGGCATGAGCCAAGCTCAGCTTGGAAAGGGCTCCCCCTATCCCGGCGAGCAGCACAGCCTTGCCACGCAACGCGAAGTCCTGAGCTGTCAGTTCCTGCAGGAGGTTTGGGGGGAGGGGATTGGCCTTGGCGCCAGCCTTCTCGTTTGCCTCTCCAAGCTCACCAGGCTTCGCCTCTGCTGCTAGCCTGGGCCCAGGACTAGTGACTGCGAACCTTAACCACCTACACAGGGGCCGCCAGGTCAGCAGCAACAAGACAATGTCACGCCAGAGCTCTGCATATGCTACATTATCTAGATGCTGGTCTGGCCCAGCCTCCCAAATATCGACGACCATTTTTCTATCTCGAGCTACTGTAATGGGCTCCAGCCCAGCATGTCTAAGCAAGCTAGTACTGACATACACTTCGGCGATCTTGGGCGCAACCAGCTTGCTGGATGGGGTGGGGGGGGGGCCCAGAAAGGGAACCGTCAAAGTGCCTGTGGCGGTCAAATTGGACCACAGCCCATACAGCACGCTCGATCGCAAAGTCCCCTGGTTGCATCGCCGAAGCATCGATGGCGACGTTGCCTTCAATAACGCCGCTGCGGGGATAAACCTTCCAGTTGCTAGATCCATCCAAACGGGGGGGCGAGGCTTGAAAGACCAGACTGGAAGACAGGCAACGCATAGCATTCAGATCAGATTCAGCTCTACCCTCGATCTCATGCATCGTCTCAGGAACGTCTAACTCCCGACTGGCCCTCCAGTTCTCTGGGCACTTACATCGTCGATACTTGTGTGCGCCTACTTCGCCGCAAAGCTTGCACTCGAGACTGACCGTCCTCCGATCCATGAATTGAGTCTGCTGTGTGGGGTAGCCGCCAGACACGATGCCTGCCAGAAAAGGTGCTTCTGCTTGGTGGCCTGATTCTCCAAGGGTCCTGAGAGTGTCCGCGATGTGTCCGAGCCTATAGGAGGTCCTCCTCCTCCATTTTCTCCTCCTCCATTTTCTCCTCCTCCTCCTCGTCCTTCTCCTCCTCCTCCTCCTCCTCCTCTTCTTCCTCCCTTCGTAACCGCGACTCCGGCATCCTTCCCTCTTTAGGGTGGGCGGCCACCGGGGTAAGACGGTTAGTTAGGCGTGTGAGGGCGCCGTGCAGTCTGTACACACCCACGGCCTGCGGGCACCGGCCCCTGACCCAGACCAGAGGAAAAGAACGTGAAGAGTTGAAAGCACCGCACCTGCGCAGGCGGCATGGGAGGGGGAAGGAGGGGACGGGGAGGGGGCACAGACCTCCTGGCCGTGGCCAGGCTCTGAGATGCGCCCATCTGACGTTTTCAATCCGCGGCCCCAGAGGTTCCGACCGTTTCCCTGGGGGTGTTTTCTCGTCGCGGATCCAGTTCTCGTGGCCCTGGTGCCCGAAAGCGGCCCCCGAGGGTCGAGCTGAGGCAGGACGGCCGGGCAGTCCCCCCCTGAGATCCGACGGCGCGAATACGATGGGCCATCGTGAAAGTCACGACCTGGGCCCCAGACCCTATACTTCTGCGCTATGCTTCAAGCCGGATCGACCCATGAGGGCCCCGAAGGGCCAGACATTGGGCGAAATGTCGCCACGGCGGAACAAAATTGCCACGCCCGGGTCTCAGGGGACTTCTTGGCCTCGGGCGTCGAGTACAGTCGGACCGAGGTAGCTGATCGAGGTCTGTCCAGGGAGGGTGCCCTAATGTTCTTCGTGTGTGTTGGATGTTCTTGTGCATATTGTGGGAGGGCGCCCTCGACTGTTCTTCAGTTTGGCCGGCCGAGGGTCTCATGTTCTTGAAGGATGTTCTGCTGTCCTAGGTCCGCCTGTACTGGCGGTGTGATAACGCATCTTTTGAAGGGGCCCCCTTGGGGCCCAGAAGGGGCACAAAAGGTTCATGCTTCTGCCCCCACGATTTATCGCCCGCCCATTGATTTACCCCCGATGCCCGTGGCCAAGGGGGGGGAGGGCGGGGGGGCCAGCCACGCGCAGAGAGGGGTATGGGGGAGGGCAGAGGGTTCTTATGTAGAAGCACCCCTGCTTCTTCGAAGGCGCGGGCCTTCTCTGTAGGTGCAGGGCCGGCGCCTTCTGAGAAGCAGCCTCCCTCTGAGAAGCCTCCCCCCCTCCCCCCTCCCCCCGTGTGCGCGCAGCTAAGGATCTCAGTGGACCTAGCTGTGGCCAAGGGTGGAGGGCGGGCGGGGGCCAGCCACGCGCAGAGAGGGGCGCGGGGGGAGGGGGGAGGGACGGGGAGGGCTTCTTAGAAGCACCCCTGCTTCTTAGAACGCGCGGGCCCCCTCATGACGGTGTGTTCGCGTCGTGCCGACTGGGGGCGACCCCGCCGCCAGCGTTCAACGCTGAACGCCGCCTGCGACCCAGAATCGGTCGATGTTGAACGAGCTAACGTTTCGGAAACGGCCGATCGTTCAGTGTTGAACGGTGGACGCGGTGTCAGGAACGAACGCCAGGGTCGACACGACACGAACAAGTGGTAATCCGCAATGGCTTCGCCCCCTGCCGCCGGCACCCTTCTCTTAGAATGGGACTTGCCAGAGCTGTGTTGGGACGTCTGGACTGGACGCTGACGTGAAGCAATGTCGGGACTTCACGCGAGGGCCAATATCAATTTATGAGGGTTTATGGCTTCGGTGGCGCGAAGATTACGTCATTTACGATGGTTGATGGCTTCGGGGACGCGAGTATTGTATTATCCCAGTGCGACCCTACCTAGGAGTTGGAGCCCCTAGGAAAGCAGCGTTAGTAGTAACAGTCAAGCTGAGCTAAAGCTAAGCTAAAGCTAAGCTAAAGCTAAGCTGAAGCTAAGCTAAAGCTAAGCTAAAGCTAAGCTAAAGCTAAAGCTAAAGCTAAAACTAAGCTAAAGCTAAGCTGAAGCTAAGCTAAAGCTGAAGCTAAGCTAAAACTAAGCTAAATCTAAGCTAAAGCTAAACTAAAGCTAAGCTGAAGCTAAGCTGAAGCTAAGCTAAAGCTAAGCTAAAGCTAAGTTACAGCTAAGGTAAACCTAAGTTAAACCTAAGCTAAAGCTAAGTTAAAGCTAAGCTAAAGCTAAGTTAAAAATAAGCTACAGCTAAGCTAAAGCTAAACCTAAAGCGAAAGGTAAAGCTAAAGCTCTCAGGGGACTGGGGGAACCACGGGGCGGGGATTTGGGGAACCGCCCTGGGCGTTTGACACTGCCCGGCCCCTTCAAGCAAACAAAGTAAGAACCCTCTAGGCAGAGCCTAGGTAGGGAATAATTTTCAAGTGTTTGTTGCCTCGGGGACGCATATAGTATCGGGGATGCAAATATTGTATGATTGACACAATGTTTATGGCCCTGGGGACGCGAGTCAGTTATACCTTTCGAAGGTTTATGGTTTCGGGAGCGCGAATATGGTGTACTTAGCAGGGTGTATGACTTCAGGGGTGCGGAAATTGTGGAATTTACTAAGGCTTCTGGCTTCGGGGACGCGAATCTTGTATCATTTACAAAGGCTCATGGCTTCGGGGGCGCGAATATGGTGTAAGTGATTTGGTTTTATGAATTCGGGGGCGCGAGCATTGAGTACTTTACGAGAGTTTATGGCTTCGGGGACGCGAATGTTGCGTACTTTACAGAGAGGAGTATGGCTCCGGGGACGCGAATCTTGTGTAGTTAAAAGGGATTATGACCTCGGGGACGCGAACATAGTGTAATTTACTAGGATCATGGCCTCGGGGACGCGAACATCATGTATCTTTACGTGTCCCACGAACCCCCGGGAATTCAGACAACGCGATTCGGGGACGCTAACCAGGACGCGTTTCGGTTCCCCCTCCCTCGCGCGTTCAGCAACAATGAACAGGAAGGAAGCAGAAAGCAGGACTGTAACAGTGGAAACTGGAAGCTGCAACTGGTACATGGAGCTGCAAGCCTAATTTTCGCAGCCTGATGACCCCGCAAGGGGGCCGGCGGATGAACGCCCGATGGCCGTGGCCAGAGGGGGAGGGTTCTTTTCGACATCCACGGTCAAGGGCCCAATCAGACTGGGCAAAGAGTTGACAGATCGACTGTGACCCCTTTCCTACACGGATGGGGTCCTTTGCTGAGCTGCCGCCGATTAGCGCTCTTGTGCGGTTCGGCAAGAGGCTCGCACTTCTCGCCCAGTTTCGCCAGGCGCTCACCCGAGGTGGCCAGAGAGGGGCGCCAGGGGGGGGGGGGGAGCACCCGCAGCCGCTGCCGCGCGAGCGCGGAGGTCTGCCCGGTCGGGGGCGTCCGCCGCCAGACGGCCATAGATGCGCGCCGTGGAGCGCTAGCCCTCCCCGAACCCCTCGAGCCATGACAAGAATTGCGGAGGGAGGCTGTTCCCTTTCTCGGCCTCTTGTGGCCCCTGGCGGGGCCCGGGACCGTCGAGAAACGATTCAGGATGAATAGCCGGTCCCCGGGAATGAGTCGAGACCTTTTTGGGGGTCGACGCTACGCAGAAATCATGACGTCGGGGGTTTGAGAATGGGGTCCCAGAAGCGCGGGGCGTTTTCGCCCTGTTTCGGGCCCTGGGACCCTCTCAGATCGATCCGGCTCTCAAAATGGCGTAGGAAGGTTGGGTCTCGGGCTCTGGTCGTGATTTCTGATGATGCTTCAATTTTTTCACGCCGTCAGACCATCCAGGCCTCCCAGTTGGGGTCGGAGTGGATGGGGTCGGAGGATCGCGCCGCATCGCCGCGCGCCGCATCGCCGCGCGCCGCATCGCCGCTGCATCGGCGATGTGGCCCGATGGCAGCGATGCGTCGCCGATGTCGCCGATGCATCGCCGATTGATCGGCGATGCCGCGCGATTCTCCGACCTCTACTCCGACACCATCTTGGAGGCCTCTAGGAACAAGCTTACCCAGACATCTGGCGTCTCGGAAAAATTCTAGACGGAGGTTTTTGATAGGTTTCGTTCCTCGGGGTCCTCTGGCCTCGGGGCCGTCAGAAAACAACTCAGGATGAAGCACCGGTCCCGGAAAAGTGGTCGAGAGGTCGGGGGCCCGTGTCTCGAATCAAACCCATACGCCAGGTGTCAGGGTCCAGCAAGCGGTAGGCTAACGGTGGAGCGCGCCCGCAGAGAATTACGCACATGGGAACAGGAAAGCAGGAACGAAGGGGGGGGGGATCGGACGCGGCTAGGACGAGGATAACTCCGTTGCGCAGCGTTCCAGAATGCTCTCGGAGCGTTCCAGAACGTTTCGACAAGGCCGCGGCACCCGAGACATTCTCCAGAGCCGCCAGATCTCAGAGATGATCGATTTTCTCTCGCCCGATTTGTTCCTCGTCCTGGTCTCGTCTCAGGGAAGGCCACACGTTGTCCGGAGCGCCCTCAGGGCATGAGGCGCTCCGGGAGGTGCCCGAGTCAAAAGGACGGCGCGTGAGACGCGCGCAGCGGGGGATCCCCTGCACACCTCACACCGCCGTGCTTGGAAAGGGCCGTCGTGGGCCCCAGCACGGGGTTCCAGCCCTCCTGGCCGAGGCCAGGAGTCAGCCTTTCGCAGAGGGGGGGGCAGGGTGGAGGGGGGACGACTTCTTCGAAGCACCCCTGCTTCTCAAAAAGTCGCGGGCCCTGTCTACAGATGGCATGCCCGCGCCTTCCAAGAAGTAGCTTCCTTCCAAGAAGCCTTCCAAGAAGTAGCTTCCTTCCAAGAAGTAGCTTCCTTCCAAGAAGCCTTCCAAGAAGCCTTCCAAGAAGTAGCTTCCTTCCAAGAAGTAGCTTCCTTCCAAGAAGTAGCTTCTAAGGAGTAGCTTCCTTCCAAGAAGCCTTCCCCCCTCCCCCTGCCCGTGTGCGCGCCGCCAAACAGTGTTCCAGCCCTCCTGGCCGAGGCCAGGAGGTCTGGGGCGAGACCCCAGACCCCGTCGGGTATTGAAGCATCGCGACCAGCACTTCTGGATAGTCTTTTGGCATCTGGGGGGGCCTCGCTGGTCCCGGGGAATGTCCAATATCCTGGGAGGACGCGTATTGGGGGGGGGCGATGACTGGGGGGGCAGCGAGGGCTGCAGAAAAGGAGCCCTGTAGGGCCCCTGGAGGGGCCCTTCGGGGCCCGAAGAGGGCACGCACCTTTCTCCCCCTCCCATGTATCGCCTTCAGAAAAACTCGCGCCCAAGATTCGCTCTCAGGATGAGAGGCCGATGCCCGGGGCAGGGGGCCAGCCCTCCGGGCGCCCACGTCTCGAACAAGAACACGACGCACGGGGGCCTGGGGAGCCTGAGAGGACGTGCAATTGTTTCACACCCCGCGTTTTCGCCGGGCTCGGCGGCCAAGGACCCTCACGGATCGATGCGTCTCGAAAAATGGCGCCGCCGTCGATGCCGCCCTCGTTGCTGCCGCCGCCGCCGCCGCCGCCGCCGTCGTCCGTTGTCCGTCGTCCGTCGTCCCTCGTCGCCGTCGTCGTCGTCGTCGTCGTCGTCGTCGTCGTCGTCGTCGTCGTCGTCGTCGTCGTCGCCGTCGCCGTCGTCGCCGTCGCCGTCGCCGTCGCCGTCGCCGTCGCCGTCGAGGTCGAGGTCAACGGGGGGGGCCTGGGCCCGCCAGAGCAAGAGAGAGGGAGTCAGAGCCCCCCGCGCCTGCGAGGACGTCGACTCCAGCGACGCGGAGCCCAGCCGCTTCTCCTGCGGCGAGGTGGACGCCATACAGGACGCCTCCTCCTCCTCCTCCTCCTCCTCCTCCTCCTCATCCTCATCCTCCTCCTCCTCCTCCTCCTATTCCTCCCTCCTCGTCCATCATGCCTCCTCCCTCCTTCCTCCTGCTGCGCCTCCTCCTGTCCCGTGGAGGCCCAGGCAATTCTCGCTCGGCCCCCGGCGGCCTCAGTGCGAGTGGCGAGGAGAGCGACGGCGGAGGGCTGCCCACGTCCTGGGGCCGCAGCGGAGTCCCTACAGCAGAGCTCGATGCCACTCCGTGGGGCGCCCTGGTGGTGCGGCACCTCCCGGGCCCGGGAACGGGGGCGCGGAGGCTGCTCTCCTCGAGTGGGGCGTGTGTGATTGCGGGGCCCGGCGGTGGGCACCAGTGCCCTCTGCCCGCGGGCCCCGCTCCTCGGGGGCCCCGCCTCGCAAGTGCGAAACAGATGTCTGAGGAGGCTTCGATCGGCGGCGAGCGAGGGGCGGGGGACTCCGAGGTTTCGAACGTCGAGGGTAGAGGCTCGAGGCGGGGCGTCATGGTTCTCGGCCTTCGGGGGCCGTTTTTGGGCCCTGGGACCCCCGAAACTCGATCCGGAGCGAAAAGCCGGATCGGACGGGCCCAGGAGGGGTCCAGGGATCGATTTTGACTCTTATTCGGCGGCGCGCCCTGGGAGGCGAAGGAGAAGGCCTTCTCAGAAGGCGGCGGGATTTCTCCGAAGTTCCCGCGCCTCCTGAGAAGTTTTCTGTGTCTGCGGGGAGGGCGTAGGAAACCGTTCAGAAAGCTGGAGGACTCCCGAGCCTTCTGAGAAGGTCCGCCCCTTCTCACTCCTCCCCGGGCTCGCCGCCGATTCGAGGCACGACCGTGTCCTGCATCAAATGACGGAGCGCACGTGCGCCGAGAGCTGCACCCATCCACGATCGCCAGCGCGTCCCCTAGCAGCCCTGTCACTCTTCCAGCACCCTCCACTCAACCCAACACTGCCCCAGGCCAGTCACCGAGGAATAAGAAACAGCATAAGCTCACTTTCTCGGAGCTCGACGCGGATTTCCTGGATCTTCGTTGGCCCCCCCTGGCGGCGCCGCTCCTGGCGCGCGGAGCGCCCCAGGGAGGGGTGCTCAGCGCCGATCCAAGAACCCCGCGCGCAAAGCAGGAACATAATGTTTATGTCGTGTTGTGCTCTTCTGAGGAAGAGTAGACGTGAGGGAGAAGTGCATGCTTGTAGAAGCCGAAGCACGCAATTCCGTTGTGTTTTTGGTTGACAGTTTTTTGGGAAGTCCCCCAAGAACACGCAATTGTCGCTTATTTGCTTGGAGTCGAATCCGATTTCCCCAAAGCACGCAGTTCGCTGAGGTCGGACAGAACATCGGGTTGGACAAGAGAGTAGGATTGGGAAGGGGGGGGTACGACATCTGCTGCATACAGCTGGTTGCGGCCCCGCCGCTGGGCCCATTCCTCGACACACGGGCGCCTCCCGGCACCAGGAGGCGCTAGGAAAATCAGCTACGTGAGCTGCTTTCCTACACTGCCCTTTGCTAATTATCCGACCCTTTTCGCCCCCCCCCCCGCCCGAGAAGAGCAAGGGAGGGGGACGAAGGGAGGGGGAGCAGGAGCAGGACGCGTGCCACGCGCAGCAGCATCAACGCGCGCCGCTCCTCCTCCCCCTCCCTCCCCCGCCTCCCCTCCTCTGTTTCTGCTGCGGGTGTGGTGCCTACTTCACGGGATTCCAGTCCACGAGGGCCCTGCCGCGACCGTGTCTCAGGGAGAATGCGGGCCCTGGGCTGCCGTCTCAGCTCCGACGGCTGCGTGCGAGACCGTGGCCGTCCTACAGGGCTGGTGTGAAGGATCTCGTGCTGGAGGCACCTGTCGGGGTCCCGACGGAGGCCCGTGTCCGCCTGGCCCAAGTCTTCACTCCCGAGGTGCTCGCCCGCGGCGACCCTTCAGAGGCCTCCGGGGGCCTGCCGCCCGGGCCCCCTCCTGGTCCCGTCGGCCATGGGGGCCTCCCGTCGGCCCCGAGGGGTCGGGCCCCTGGTCGGGCCCTCCTGGGGCGGCGCCTTGGGCTGGGCCGAGGGCGAACACGCTGCGGGCTTCTTGGCCTCGCGGAGGTCGACCCTCGGTGTCGGAGCTCGGCGCACGCCGCTGCGCAAAGGACGTGGCGGAAGAGGCGTCGGACGCTTCAGCCTCCGAGGCGTCTGATGTTGAGGCCGAGTAGGCCTAACTTGACCGCCTTCAGGGCTCTGTCCCATCTCATCCTCCCCATCCTCCTCTTTCTCCTCCTCCTCCTCCTCCTCCTCCTCCTCTGGTATCCTCTGGTATCCTACCAAGCGAGTCCAGCTCTGCCAAGACTCGCTCACCTGCTCAGTGGCAGGACCCGCCTCCGAAGTCAAGGCCAAGACACCTCAGAACCTCGGGGCACCAGGAAATCGGGCGCGGCACCGCCACCAAGGGCTGGCGGTGCCCTCAAAACATTCGACTCGGCTCCCTCGACCGCTTTCGGACCAGGGGCCGAACCACGGGCGAGCGGAAACGGGTGCCCCCAGAAAACGTCGCCCTGGGGTTCCCGACCAGCACGGAGACGGTCCAGGGCGATCTTCCCCAGACGGACCGAGTCCCTGGGACGACTGGACCAGGGACGACAGGGCACGGCCAACAGATGGGTCTGCCGACGGGCGTATGCCCCGCAGAGCTTACAGAAGACGATCGCCTCGTCCCCCCCAAGGCCCCGACCGTCCCCCCCACCCGTCCCGCGCCCACGCCGAACCACCCACAGCCTATGGGAAGGATGGGCGATCGCCGCAGGCCTAGGCACTCCAGGACACGGGTGGCTGACTAAACGAGATCGGAGCCCATTCCTTACCCCACAGATGCCACATCCCCAGGTCCTCCCAAGACGGCCCAAGACGTGCCCATTAGGGTTCGCCACGAGGGAGAGGACCTGCTGGGGGCAGGGACGGGGAAGAGGACTCCGATCGGGCCAGCCCGCGCCTGCGACACTTTTCAGCACAGCGCCGTGATGGCGGAGGAGCTGCTTGCTCGCCTCCGCCGCCGAGCTCACACGGGTGGCGAGCTCCTCCACCTCCTCGAAGTCCCAGTGCAGCCTGGCGCCCTCTTTGGCGCGCTTGTCGGCCTCCTGGTTGCCGATGTGCCAGTGGGCTGGCACGCCAGCCGCCTCCGCCGCAGCCCAGCTGGTGTGGGCACGGGTCCAGCGGATGACCAGCGATCCAGGCATGTCACGGGCTCGCGTCCACACCTCGCTCCAGAGCTCCGCGTACCTGGACTCTGGGCTGGTGCACCACAGCTCGCCCTTCTCGTAGTCGTCCACCACGTTCCTGCAGTCCGTGATGATCTCCAGGTCGCCGTCGGCCTCTCGCAAGACCACCAGCAGCGCGTACAGCTCGGCAAACCCGATCTCCTGCACCAGGCCTGGCACCGTCCCCAGCACGCCGCCAATCACACGGCCGTCGGTGGTGACCATGATACCAGCCCAGCCAGCGCGAGTGATCTCCACCAGCTGCGGGAAAAAGGCTGAGCCGTCGATGCACACGGTGCCCGAAAACCCAGCTCGCCGAAGGGCCCCCGCGCGCAGGCTCCGCTCAGCAGCAGCCGGCTGCGGCGCCAGCTCCAGCCCGAGCGGAACGAGGCACCGCACGAAGCCCATGTCCGTGACCTCCGCAGCTGCGCCTGCGGCGCGCACAGCAGCCAGGCCCATGTCGCGCGCCACCGTCGCCGTCCCCTCGCAGCAGAACAGCCTGTGGTGGTGCGTGCCCATGCCGTAGCCGCACCACTGGCAGTCGGAGGAGACGGCCGCCCGCTCGTCGTATAGGTTGCACTGCGAGACGAGGCCCCCGCACACGAGGCTCTCCACCAGCGCCGTCTGCTCCGCGTCGCCCAGCCCCCTGATCAGGTCCAGCGCCGCGCGGACGGGGTACATGGTGGGCGGCCCCTCCAGCTGGTCGTGGAAGTGGGCAGGCACCGTCCTCATCATCGCCCTGTGCACGCCCCGCTCGACCCACACCCCGACCAGCTTCGGGCTGTGCACCGTCAGGTCGAGGCGCTCGCCCCTGTCGGTGATCCAGACGTGCCAGCTCTCCGCTCGCCAGCCAATGCGAGCAAGGCTGAGGCGCACAGCCCCAGCAGGTCCAGTAACCTGGCCCCAATGGGCAGGCTGAGCAGCGCTGAACACGGTGCCCATGCTGCTCGCGGGCCTGGCCCGTTGGAACACCGCCTTGGCCCAACCCAGCAGTGGCAAACCATTGGCCGCGTAGGCGGGGTCGCGGCGCCATCCCGTCCCAGGCTGGACCGCGAACTGCAGCGTCCTGCACCGCTTGCCGCACGCCCCCGAAATGGCCTGGCCGTTGATGGTCCTGGCCTTGTCAAGGACCTTGGTCGGCACGCCCCTGACGCGGGCTCCGTGGAGGATGGTCGCCAGGCCGCTGCACCTGAAAACCGAGCCCAGCTTGGCGCCAGCACGTCGGAGCTGCATGTAGCGCGACGCCTTCACCGCCAGGCGCCCCAGGCGCCCACGCAGCACGCCCCACGAGGCCTTGCCATCCAGCCTGAAGTCAATCCCCAGGTTCTTGGCCTCGCGCCGCAGCCTGAAGTCACACTTCCTGAGGCGGTGGGCCGTCCTCTTGCCAGCGTCGGTGTCACTGGAGACTATCACCCCCTTGGTGAGCGAGATCGTGAAACCGTCCTCCTCCAACCTCTGGCAGAGCCACCTGGTCGCGCCGAAGACCCCGAACTCCACGTCGCGCAGCCGCCCGTACACCGCCAGCGTGACGTCGTCCACGACCAGGTAGGCGCGCACGTTCTGCCAGGACTGCATGAGGAGGTCCATGGCCGTGAGGAGCATCACCTTCAGCAGCGTCGTTGCGAAGGTGCACCCCGCCACGATCGACGTCCCCAGCGAGAAGGCCTCCGAGACCCACTTGCTCAGGCAGAGTCTGCGCCGTCCCCCATGCGATCGGAGGATGAGCTTCAAGCGCCTCAACTTGAAGCCGTGTCTTCGGGCTGCTGCCACCAGC